ATTGTTATTGCGACATAACAATCAAGGTAATATCTTAAACCTAATTATATGTTAATATGATTACTTGAATGCTAGAATTAGGGTTTATAGTCTTGGATAACTTGCATGTACAATAGAGAAACCTAGATCCTAGCATTAGGGTTTGTATGAGCACATAGGATGTCTTATGACCAAAACCCATCAAGGAGGTTGGGTGATTTAGGATCTATAGTTCTAAAACATAGAAATGAATGGATTTATGAAAATTTATGTAACACTCAAGTTTTGGTAAGTTTCCTTTTAACCCTTTGATGAAAATTCCTTTCAATTTGGTCCCTTGGTTAGTACGTTGGTCGTACTCAATGAGTACGCTTAGCGTACTAGCCATCCTGATGATCGCGGGTTCCACCCATGTACGCAAGGCATACGTGGAGTACGCAAGGCTGGGACAAACCCTAATTTTTAGGGTTTATGCCCTATTTAAACAACTTAAACTCATCTCTTGGACATTTTACACCAGACTGCACCTCCCTATTACCCTGAAACTGAAACCCTAGAGTGATTTGGTGAGTTTTAAGCTTGAAAGAGTGTTTGTTAGTGGTTTGTGAAGGAGAAGAAGAGAAGAAGAACACTTGGAGGAGTAGCTTGGGCTTGTAGATCCAGGATCACCTTCTCATTTGCAAGCTCTTTGAGGTAAAAATCTCACACATTGATGATCATATATGTTAGATCTAATTTATGGTGTATTTTGTGCACTTTTGGCATGGTTGGGCCATTAGACCTCTGTTTTGGGATAAGGGCTAGCATGTTGGGCTTCCTTGGATATTAGGTCCATGATGGGTTTTAGGCCAAATTTGGAAGATTGGACCATCAATTGGGCTTTAGGATTTGGGCCTTTTGAATAGTTGAGTTGGTCATTGGCTTTGGGCCGAGTTAGATAAAGGGTAAAATGGTCTCTTACCCTGGTTATGGGCCAATTAGCTTAGAATTTTGGTTATGGGTTAGAATCTAATTAATAATTGGATGTTACTAATTTTGATAGCGCGGGGATTTTCCGGGCCAACAGTTAAAGATTCATTCGAGTGATTCAGTAGTTAGAGGTGAGTTTCCTCAATGTGTTTAATGGATCGAAGGCGCCAATATAGGCCCATGGTTTATTATGTTAGGGTGCTAGATGTCTGTGTGACTCTTGTATGTGTTATGGCTTGTATGTTTACCGGGCAAGGCTTGATGTCGGGCGGGGCCCGATGACTATCCTCTATGCTATTATCGATTTATCGTTGTGATTACTGCATGTTTTTGTATGATTATATATTTATATGTTGTATGTATATCGGGCGGGGCAAGATGCCAAGCGCTGATGACTGACAAATCTGTATACCGAGCGGGGCCCATTATATGTTTATTGTGTATGGTATTTGGTATTTTGGGGAACTCACTAAGCTTTATGCTTATGGTTTTTAGTTTATGTTTCAAGCACTTCTTGTTTGAAAGGGAAGAACCAGGGATGACTGCAGTGCACACACCACCTCGTTCTGCATTTTATGATTGCTCTGATGTTTCATGATGTATTTGATACACTTTGTTCCACTTCGGTTTTATGATGATGTTTTGGATTACAGTTTTATTTAATTTAAAAACGAAACTTTTTGTCTTAATTTTTGGGATGTTACAATTTATTTGCCTGATATGATGATGGTGGAAGAGAAAGAAGAAGAAGTATTGCATGTGTCAAACCTAACACCACATCGCATATATATGTTATGTTTGTATAACACATATATGAAAGATTAATGGAAGGAAAACTCACGCCAAAAACCCATAATTTATAAAACATAAAAAATCACACCCCCATTATACATTGAGGACCAAATTTAAAATTGAAGTTAAGAAAAGACGTGGCAAGGATAGAGAAAACACTTGTTAGAGTGAGGAAGTGGTGATATGAAAGCTTGGTAAAGAAGATGGAAGGGGTTAGTTACGGAAAAGCTTTTGGGAATCAAAATCCTCCGCATATCTGCTAGATCCTTAGACGAAGAAGAAATCATTTTTTTGTCTTGGATGTGGATGTTCTCTTTCGGCCGTTTCATGGTCTAATGGGAATCAAAGCTTCAACCAAATCATAAGGTGTGATAGTGGTGAATCTAGGTGTCATTCAATGGATGAAACTGTATCATTGTAAGATGCCACATTGACATTCAATGGATTTGGAGTTCAATGGCCATTGAACTCTTCAATGGAAAAAAAAAAAAAAGTTTTTAATTCTTAAATATATACTATAAATTACCTTTTGTAGTATTTTTATTGAACTTTGTAGAGTTCAATGCATTGTAGGAAAAAAAAATGATAGAGTTGTATGGATTGTAAAAATATGATGTGACAATCCATTGAACTATATGAAGTTCAATGCATTATGAATGCCCTAATGTGAGAGTGGCGTAGGATGAGTATGCGGTAGAGAAAGAGAAAGAGAAGAGAGAAGAAAGAAGGAATGTGTGGGGACCTTGTTAAAAAAGACAAAAGAAATAAAGGGGACAAATAAGTAATTTATATATACTTGATCTTTATTTTTCAACGGAGTTAGCTAAAAAGATTATCCGTTTTTGATTTTGAAACCATAAGAACTTCTAGTGTAACGTTTTTTTAAAAAAGTCCTGAAAATGCTATTTTCAAAAACATTGTCATTTGTGAAATTTTGTCTTAAAATAATTGAATTTTTTTATATAGGTATATAATTAGTTGTAACTTGCACATTTTTTAATTTAAATTTATAATCATAAACCTTATTGAATTGCGTGTGGCACCTGGCCAACTTAAAGTCAAATATTTGTAATACTTATGGGAAGAAAATGAGGGGTAACATGTTACCCCTACCAATCTGTTGGTTCAGTGGTTAACATGTGTTTTATAACCATTGTAGTTTCTATAACGTTCTTTGCAACTATTTAATCATGTTTTTTTAGGTGTTACCCCTACCAATCTGTTGGTTCAGTGGTTAACATGTGTTTTATAACCATTGTAGTTTCTATAACGTTCTTTGCAACTATTTAATCATGTTTTTTTAGTAAAAGACAAAAGTATAGTTCGCTTTGTGCTTACCACATGGCCGACTAAAAGTCAAATATTTGTAATACTTATTGGAAGAAAATGAGGGGCAACACATATTACCCCTACCAATATGTTGGTTTAGCCAGTGGTTAACATGTGTTTTATAAATATTGTAGTTTCTATAATATTATTTGCAACTATTTAACCATGTTTGTTTAGTAAAAGACGAAAGAATAGTTCGCTTTGTAATATTTATGGGAAGAAAATGAGGGGCACCACATGTTACCCCTACCAACAGGGAAGTGATTCGTACACAAAAGTTTTTTGTCATACACAAGAATTCATGCATTATATAGTTGTACAATACAACATTTTAAAGCACCAATTGTTGTGTATGAAGAAAAATTATTGTGTACGGATCAACTCTCATACCAATATGTTGGTTCAGCCTGTAGTTAACATGTGTTTTATAGCTATTATAGTTTCTATAACCTTCTTTGCAACTATTTAACCATGTTAGCTTTTAAGTTGTTTGTTTTAAAACAGCTTAAATTTAATTCGATTAATTCTAAAAAAATAGAAACTCCTCTCATTACCATTTTTATACCTAAATCACTTATTTTTTACACCAATACTTGAATATGCAACAATGAAGGTAACATGTGGTTTAAAAACACGTATCATACAACATATCAAGAAAGTCCTTTTAAATTATACTCTATGATAACTATAATCATTAAGATACCATCTATATGAGTTTTTTTTCATTAGTTTAGTAAATATAAAAAGAAATTTTTTCAAAAAAAATTTAAACTTTAACCCTATTAACAAAAAAAGTCAATCTATTATTGTTTATTTTCAGAAAAATCCTTAAAATGATTGGAAAACTTCTTAAAACCAATATTAATCAGGAACAATGATTTTTTTTTCAAATATTTACGTTTTTTTTTTTTTGGAAAATGACTTATTAAGGTAACTAACTATTTCAGTTGTTCATGTATAGGTAATGTTCTTTTTTTTGTACACATTAAGGTAACTAACTTGTTTTGTTTGTTCACATTTATGTAATATGACCGGCTATTACCTTTTTTTGCTTATGTGGCATCCACCTGGCATATGACTTGAATACGTTGCACCTACGTGGAATGGTGCATACATGGGAAAATGACTTATTAAGGTAACTAACTATTTTAGTTGTCCATATATAGATAATGTTCTTTTTTTTGTACACATTAAGGTAATGAACTTGTTTTGTTTGTTCACATTTAGGTAATATGACCGGCTATCACTTGTTTTTGCTTATGTGGCATCCACCTGACATATGACTTGAATACGTTGCACCTACGTGGCATCCACCTGGCATATGACTTGTTTTGTTTCTTCTTCTTCATCTTATTCTTCAAAACGACAAGATGAATTTCAAGCTGATCATCTATGTGATTGCGGCTTACCATCTCGTGTGAAGATTTCAAGAACTCCTGACAACCCTGGAAGAAAATTTAGAGTTTGTTAAAACTCGATGGTAAATCAATATTGTTCAATATGTTGCAGGAGTTCTTGAAATCTTCACACGAGATGGTAAACCGCAATCACATGGATGATCAGCTTGAAATTCATCTTGTCATTTTGAAGAATAAGATGAGGAAGAAGAAGCCATCGTCGATCGATCTAGGGTTTAGAATTAGGGGTGGAATCATATGACATAGTTATAGTGTAATCAAATGAAGACAATATATGCACCATGCCACGTAGGTGCAATGTATTCAAGTCATATGTCAGGTGGATGTCACATAAACAAAAACATGTGATAGTCGGTCATATTACCTAAATGTGAACAAACAAAACAAGTTAGTTATCTTAATGTGTAAAAAAAAAAAACATTACCTATATATGGACAACTGAAATAAGTTACCTTAATAAGTCATTTTCCCATATATACACCATGCCACGTAGGTGCAACGTATTCAAATCATATGTCAGGTGGATGTCACATAAGCAAAAACAGGTGATAATCGATCATATTACCTAAATGTGAACAAATAAAACAAGTTAGTTACGTTAATGTGTACAAAAAAAGAACATTACCTATATATGAACAACTGAAAATAGTTAGTTACCTTAATAAGTTTTTTTTTTTTTTTTTTTAACTAAATTGAAAAAAAAAAATTATGTTAATAGAACCAAACGCAGGACGAAGATTTTTCCTATTTAATTAGTCAAAACGCTACGATTTAGGCCTTTGGTTTCTGGTCGCCAACGCCGTGAAGGATTTTCGACGAACGTTGTCCAACCGACGGAGCCACCGGGCGGAGACCTTCGACAGTCAGAGCTACACTGTCGCAACCCACCTCAGGTTCCATTCTTTCTTCCTTTTTGTCCTGCTTTCTTTCTTCCTTTTTTTCTGCTTTCTCTTGAAATCGCCAATCTTGATATAAAATTATACCAAATTCATGGTTACCACTTGATTTTGGTGTTATTATCAATTGATGTAGGTCGATTTCTTCCGTTTTTTCTGCCTTCAATAGCCACAGCTACTTGTTTGCTACTGCTGATTTGCTGTTCATATATGATATCTGATGTGTTTGTTGTTCATATATGATACCTGATGTGTATGTATAATGCTCTGTAACTTTAATTAGATGTTTGAATTTGTGTTCTTAAGGCTCATATGTATGATGGTTTTTAATTTGAGTTGGGACGGTTGGCCTTGCAGGCAAGCTGTTTGATCAAATGCCTGAGAGGGATGTATGGACATATTTGCCCTTGTCCCCTGTTTTTATGGTTCTTGTTTTTAAGGTTTACAAAAATGGTTCATGTTTGCTGCTTAATAAGTCCAAATATAAAACTGTTAGCTGTAATAAGATAAATCAAACAAAATGTAATATATACTTCAAAAAGCCCTAATAAAAATGACACCTAAATTAGGTGCTCGTTAACTTTTATTATTGTAACTTCCAATTTCAAACATTTAACTCACGCAACTGCAGGAAACGAAGTTGATAATTGTAGAAAATGGCACCAGCCTTAATCAATGCAAATCCCGTTGTATATGAAAAGAAGGAACGCCCTGTTCGTAGTAGACCTGGTGATGGCGATTTTGATGAATATGCAACTGAACTCATTGACCAACTAGAAATATTTGATATCCTTCTTCAACTTAATCTAATTTCTTTCATGAATATCATTTGTATTACTATTTACATAATATACAATATTGAATATCCTCTGTCCTCCTTAGCATAAGAGTTGCTACACCATATAAGAGACATTAAAGATCCTGAACATCCTTATTCTCTAGAAGAACTGAAAGTAATTACAGAAGATGCCATTGAGGTAGATGACAAGCGTAGCTATGTTCGGTGAGTTATCTTTATTCTTCCTTTTTTTTTTACATAGTTTTATGGCAATTTTTTCTCTGTGAGTGTGACATAATTACTACTTGTTATCAGTGTCACTTTTACACCAACAGTTGAGCATTGTAGTATGGCGACTGTGATTGGCCTTTGTTTACGTGTTAAACTTATGCGCAGCCTTCCTTCCCGTTTCAAGGTATATAAATTTATACTTTAATTGCAGATTCAATCTTTTTGAAGAAAGTTTTTTGGTCATTATGTTATATTGAAATATGTTGGTGACTCTACTCTCACTTTATTAGGTTGACATCAAGGTGGCTCCTGGGACTCATGCAACTGAAGAAGCAGGTCTTAATTCTCTTCTGAATCTGTATGTGCACATACATACATATAATTATTTAATTCT